AAATGACTCATGTCCTCATAAGAAGAGGAGATTAAGACAAAGATACACACAAGGAGGGAAGACATTTGAAAAATGTCATCATTTCAAGGAGAAGAAGGCCATCTGGGAGACAAGGAGAGAGTCCTGGAACACATCCTTCCCTCACGGCCCTCCATAAAAACCAACCCCGCTAACACTGTGACCTTGGACTTCTAGCCTCTAGAATTGTGGGGAAATGAATTTCTGTTGTTTAAGCCCCCCAGCCTGTTGTGCTTTGTTACAGCAGCCCAAGAAAACTAATAAACCAGTCACATCAAATAGCCTAAATGCACAGGTCTGGGGGTCCAGGGGTGGAAAGGAAATAGCTCCTATTACAGTTACAGCAAACAACATACTGAAGGAATTTTTGCTTCTCATTCTCCACAACCTGGGGTTCAATGGGTTTGGAGGTCCTAGTAGGCTAGTGGGTTTGGAAGAATGCCTCCACCAGGGAATGCAGTTATGGTTCTTTCAATTTGGAAGCTGAGTCCACCCACTTGCCATTTTGGCTTCCTTATGCCAATGATCCAGCAGGCAAAGAAGATGTCACTGTACTGGCTGGTGATGTTCCTGATTTCCCAGGGGAAATTCCCTACTGCTTCATAATGGAGACAAGGAGGACTATGTCTCGAAACATTGGCCAATAGTCCTGGTCAAAGAAAAAGTACAACAACCCAGTAAAGGTAGAACCACAAAGACTCAGATCCAGCAAGAATGGAGAATTGGGTTACAGGAGGTTTTCCAGCCAAGATGTTGGTAGAGGGTAAAGGAAACAAGCAGTGGGTGGGGGAAGAATGAAACTAGGATTACCAACTAAGGCCTCATGAACAGCTACGGAAGCAATAACTGTGGCAGTTCTTTTACATGTTTTACTTCCTTCCTCATTCTTTTTCACCTGCTACCTTATATGAAGACCATTGGTGGTGACTAATGTGTTAAGGTTTCACGTGAGTATATGACTGAATTATTATCAGCCCGCAATGACACAAGAGCTAATGGGATGATTGTGTGTCCTCTGATTGGAGATATCAATTTTCCATCTGGACAAAGAACGAAAATGCATGCTGATGGGCAAAAGGAGTGGAGCATGTTGGATTTTTCTCATTTGTCCTTCTGATGCGTTCTTCACCCTATTCTGTTGCTCAGGAAGCTGACCTTTATTGAATTCTTTCATGGGCTTCCAGATGGGTTTAGCCAATGAGAGGCACTGGAAGAGTTCTAAGGACAGAAGGATGAAGGAAACCTGCTGGGTTGCCATGTGCTGGCTACATCCCTCTACCAAGACTCAGTTCCTATCTGGCAGACTCCTGCAGGTGTTCTTTCCCGGGGATGCAGGTAACTGCTCTCTCCCCGTGCCCTTCAACGCTAGCCCTGATAACTGCTGCCTGCTGTTGCTGACTCGGGGAAACTACACATCTCTTATTGGTTTCCCATAATGCCACCTAAACCTTTACAAACTGACTCTGTTAAACTCTGTTCCATTACCATTTGAGTGTACTGTGTATTTCCTCCAGAACCCTGACATTGGGGGAGAGAAAGAAAGAAGACAAGAGGTAACAAAAGTGAGTAGAGAAAGAGGGAATAAAGGAGTAGGAAGAAAAAGCAGGCATGAGCTATTAAGGGATAAAAGTTTATTAAAGAGGGAGAAAACAATAGAAGACACTAGAAAAAAACAAAATACATTAACAGTAGCTGACCATGTACTATATCAATCAGGTTTAGCCAAGAACAACACTGGGCTTTCACTTGGCCCTCTGGCCATGGCAGCTATGGCCCAAACCAGAGCAAGCCGAGCGGCCCCAGATGCTGATGCGGCATACCTCTCAGGAGACCACCCGATCACCTCTTCTCACGGCCTGGCCATGGCGACCTACAGACAGAGCCATGTGTGGTCAATGGATATTCCTCCATCATATGCTGACCTTGGCAAATCTGCCAGAGATATTTTCAGCAGAGGATTTGGTTTTAGGTTGTCTGGATGTGAAAACAAAATCATGCAGTATCACGGATTTCTTGGTATCTGGTCCATCTAAAGCAGACACTGGTCAAGTTGCTGGGAGCTTGGAAACCAAATTCATACAGTGTGAGTATGGTCTGACTTTCAAAAAAAAATGGGACACTGACAAGAGTCTGGGAACAGAATTGAATCAGACTTGAAGACCAGATTTGTCAAGGGTAGAAACTGACATTCGATAGATACTACCTTCTCACCAACAAGAAAAAGAAAAGTGGTAAACTCAAGTCTTCTTATAGGAGGGAGTGTAAAATCCTTGGTTGTAATGCGGACTTAGATTTTGCTGGACCTGCCATCCATGGTTCAGCTGTCTTTGATTCTGAGGGCTGACTTGCTGGACACTGGGTGACTTTTGACAGTGCCAAATCAAAGCTGACAAGGAGTAACTTTGCCATGAGGCATAGGAGTGGAGACATCCAGCTACATGCTATGGTCAATAACTGGACAGAGTTTGGAGAATATTTATCAGAAAGAATATAAAGATCTTGATACTTCAGTGAATCTTGCTTGGATGTTAGGTACCGACTGTCCTTGTTTTGGCATTACAGCTAAGCATCCATTGGGTCCCACTGCTTCCATTTCTGCAAAAGTCAACAGCTCTAGTTCAAGTGGAGTAAGCTGCACTCAGACTCTGAGCCCTGGTGTGAGGCTGACACTGTCTATTCTGGTCAATGGAATGAGAGTTAATGCTGGAGGCCACAAGCTTGGGCTTTCTCTGGAGTTGGAGGTTAACCCGGCAGGGTGGGAACCCTCGGGAATGGGTCTCAGAAGGTTTGGTCTTAATGTATTTCCAGTGTGAGCACAGGCTCCCTCCAACTCCCCTGCACCCCTCCAGTGATAAAACAAAGGATGATCTAAATGAGAGCTGTATTTTAAATGTGGAGTCAGTTTCTTGTTAACTAGGTCCTAGTTAAATTGTTTATCTAGTTACCAATGCTGCAGCGGGGCAGTCACCTGCACATTATCTAAATGTATTTAACTGTTAGATGTGCTATCCACCAATAATGAAATGGACAAAAATGTAAAACAAATAAACATTGGGTCTATTTTTTTAATTAACCACATCGTTGAAAATTTTCTTCTTTGGTTTCAGCTACCAATGGCCAGGGCCTCAGGACTTTCACGCTATACATTTTAAGCAAAATCCTCTCATCCAGGATTTCTCCACTGCAGCACTGCTGACACCTCAGATCATATCATTCTTTGCTGTGCAGAGGGCGTCCTGTGCAGTGTCAGACGTTTCACAGCATCCCTGCCTCCACTCACTAGATGGCTGCTGTCATCCTCCACACCACCTCTCAGACAGGCCAGTGTCCCCAGATATTGCCAAATGGTCCCTGGGGATAGGGCACCCAAGAAAATATTGCACAGGACATACTTATAGTAAATATATTGTTATCGTTTATCTGAAATTAAAATTCAAGTGGACGTCTGTATTTTTATTTGCTAAATCTACCTAGCCCTACCGAGAGGCGAGATTACCCCTATCTCTCCCACCTCCCACCCCATTTGAGAACTGTTGCTCTAGTCCACAGGCAGCAAAGGAGAAAAAGGATGGTGATGGGAAGTGGGGAGTGTTCGCATCAGACTTGCATTTTGAGCAAAACTATATAAAACGTCTGAGCTCTGCTCACAAGCAGGACTGCTGTTGTCAGCACCCTGTTGGCACAGATGACACAGTGAGACTTCACTGGCACCCTTGGCTCTCCTTTTGAATAAGCAACTGAAGATGGGAGCCCAGACCTTGCCAGTCACATCTGCCTTTGGAGAGTCGGGTATTGTGATCTATTACAAGTATAAATTTAGTCTTTATCCTGTTTCTGGCATAGAGCTCTTCAAACCCTGGGAATTTCCTAAGTGACCAGAGCAACAAAGGTGTCTTTTGTTATGTTAATGAGGTGACTTTTGGACCACACCTAGAAATGGGGGCTGGTTGCCAGGAGAAGCCACCTGATGATTGGAGGTTTGGAACTTTCAGTCCCACTCCCCTGATTGTCAGGGAGAGGAGTGGGAGTGGAGGTTGAATCAATCATCCATGATTTAATCATCATGCCTTTGTAATGAAGCCCCCATAAAAACCCAAAAGGATGGAGTCTGGAGAGTTTCCAGGTTGATGAACACATGGAGATGGGGGGAGAGTGGCATGCTCTGAATAGGGCATGGAAGCTCCTTGCTCTTTCCTCATACCTTGCCCTATGCATCTCTTCCTTCTGGCTCTTCCTGAGTTATATCCTTTTATAATAAACTGGTAATCTAGTAAGTAAAATGTCCCTCTAGATCTGTGAGCTGTTCTAGCAAATTAATCAAACCCACTGAGAGAGACATTGGAACCTCCAATCTATAGCCAGTTGGTCAAAAGCACAGGTGACAATCTGGGCTTGTGACTGTCATCTAAAGTGGAGGGGGTAGCACTCTTGGGAGGACTGAGTCCTTAATCTGTGGAATCTGATGCTATCTCTGAGTAGATAGTACCAAATTTGAATTGAGTTCTAGGACACCCAGCTGATGCTGGAGAATTTCTTGGTGGCATAGAAACACACACACACACGCACACACACACATTGGAATAAGTACTAGAATCATTTTGGGGAGAGTATCCTGACTGTGGAAGCAGGAGAAAGTAAGGAAATGGGTACTTGTGCCCTCTGTTTCCTCTTTTTCTACTGAATCTAAATAATAGTCATCTTTTCTTCTTTAAAATGTTTATATTGAGGGCTGTATTTGATTAGCTGATAACAGTATGGAAGGGAGAATTAACAGGAAGCATTTCCCCTGCCCGTAAATCTAACTCAGGGCTCCTAGAGAGAGGGGCGCACTTGGGTTCTGGGATCCCTGAGACTTGAAATTACAAACTCATATTCACCAGAATAATAGGTATTATTTTAAGATATTCCTCAAGGTCTCAGGTAATTTGTAAAAAGAATTCAAAGAAACCTGGAGCCACAAATTGACGTAATTTATTCTCCTCTCCTCCTTGTTAGCATTGCAGCTTTTCCACTTCGGAGTATCCAGGTTCCTAGTCTCCAACTACAGAGCTCTCATCGGTAGAACAAGAGCACGGCTGCCTCAGTTATCTCCCGGCTGCAGCTGTAACCAGTGTGAGTTCCGTATCTATTCCAATCCAAAGGAGGAGAAATCCCCACACTGCCTGGGGTTGCCCTCCCGGAAGAATCCTCCTCCACTGATGCAGTGCTGGGAAGCAAAGAGGAGACACAATGAGGGATTTGCTGCCGATGCTCTGAGCTCTTAATGGCCAAGTCCCCTGGAATCTTTGGTCCTCATCTGACTTGGCTTTGACCACTCCCTCCCACAAAAGCCTCTCCTCTGTGAACTCTGAAATCACGCTCCTTCCTGACTTCCTTTCTACCTTCCTGAACATGCATTCTCAGGCCCCTTGGCCTGCCTGTCTTCCTCAGCCCATCCCCTACATGCTTTTCATGGTTCAGTCCACATCTCACTCTCCCTGTTATGGCTCATCTTCTCCCATGACTTCAGCCATTATTAGCATACTCATATACTATCAGTATACTCCTAATCTCTGAGGCCAGCCCAGATAGTTTCATTCTTGAGACCCTCATATCCAACTACCACCTGGGTGTCACCACCTGGATATCTCACAGGTATCTAAAACCCCACTTGAGCAAAACAAAACTAATGATCTCTCTTACTGTCCCTGATTGAGGAATCTGTTCCTCGTCCTGCCACCTGTCTTAATTGATAGTACACGGTCACCCAAAACCAACACCTAAGGTCTTTTTAGTGTCCTTCGCTCGACATCCGCCCATATTTATCTGTTCGTTAAGGACTGATGATTCCTTCCCCTACGTATCCCTGGAAGCCATCCATGCTCATTCAACCTCATGAAGAAAGCCTTGGCTCAGGACCTTAGTGTGTTGCATCTGGACCTTTGCATCTGCCCCACGGTCTCCTGGCCCCTAATTCTCCTGCTCTTCAGTCCTTGTCCTCCACACTGCGATGCATCATCTTAGCAAAACCAAAGCCGATCACGTCACTCCTCTGTTCAAAGTTCTCTGAGTCCCGTCACCTACAACATAAACTCTAAATCCTTGACATAACGTAAAGTCCCTCCTGGTCCTGGTTCCTATAGGGATCTTCTTCATCAGCCCCTGCTTCTGCCCAATATGCACACCGTGCCCTCTCAAACGCCAATGATTTTGAGCATCGTAGTCATACATGCTAAAAATGCACTATTCTGCCCTTTCCTACTTGTCGAACTCTATACATCTTTTGAGATTCATCACAAATGTCACCTTCCTTAGAGAATCAACTCTGTGCCATTAGTAGAATTAGAAGCTCCTCTATCGTGTTTGAGAGCCCCTTGTTTACGTTACCCTCACAGTTCAGACCACGGGAGATCGCCATCTCTGTCCCACTCATAGCTCCTTAAGATGGCTATGTCATCTGTGCACCTCTAACACCTAGCACTCTGCAGGTGTTCTCTGCTTGTATTTACTTAAATTATTTTATTGAAGTCATATTGGCTTATAACACTGTGTAAATTTCAGGTGTACATTATTATCTATCAGTTTCTGTATAGACTGCATCGTGTTCACCACCAGTCTATGCTTGTATTTTTAAGGAAAGAATCAATGCCTGAAGGTTATATGCAAAGATGCACTAACACACAGTGTAAGAAGCCAGGGAAGCCAGTGTAGGAAACGGTTGTCTAGGAAAAGAGACACACCCCCCACTGTACTCCCAGGGTCCACAGCTGCATTATCCTCTGGATCACAATCTAGAGGTCCTTCCATGAGGGCACAGCTGCCTCATCATGACTGAAAAATGGACAAACTGATGGCTGAGGGGGAAGTGAAGATGGAGTGATCTCGGGGTCACATTCTCAGACTGTCAGCCGGGCAGGCAAGAGGGCCCTAAGTGAACGCCCTTCTTCTTGTGGCTCTGACTCCTTCCTCCTCCCCCAGTCACAAGATGTCCCTCAAAGATACTCTGCAGTCACCACAGCTATGGCGCTCTCTGCTCCGACACTGCGAAAACAACAAAAACATAAAGCTTCTGGAAGTTAATATGAATATTGGAGAATATCTTTATGACCTCAACATAGAAACATACTTCTTAAACAAAACATTAAAGTACTAACCATACATGGAAATCTTGATAAACAAAACATCATTGAAATAGATTATGTTCACCAGACACCATCAAGAGAGTAAAAAGGCAAGTGACGGAGACACACATCAACACACCCGACATGTACACGCGCACACGCTTTGATCTCCCCAAACTCACGTTCTCAGTGTTGCAGCCAGTAACTCTCACCCCAGCACACAGGGCATTGACTGCTTTCCCATTATTAAACACTCTGAACTGGACAAATCCTGCAACAAATTCCCTGGAAAAGAAGCAGCAGAGAAAGGGCCAAGTATTCAAAGGAAGAAGCGGGAATAGCTTCCCTTTGAACAGCCCAGGGATTCCCTAAGCCAAGAGTTCAAGTCACAGCCCAGCCCTCCAAGCTGTAGTGGTGGAGCCCAGCACCTGTGTGCCCTGTGGCCGGGACATCCGACCCTGAACTTGGCCAGGGGAGAACCTCTGTCCGTCTGGGGCAAGAGGACAGAGGCTGGGTCTCACAAGAGGACACTTGTCTGCCCGAGGCTTACAGGAGAAATTAGACTCCGCAGAGGATCACCGAGAAGATCTCCAAAGGTGCAGGAGGACAAGCAATGATCAGATGGGGCCATGTGCTTCTGTGGACACACTTCTCATCCAATTACCGTGTGTTTGTTTTCCTAACTGCCATTACCCGCCTTCGTAAAATATCAAATGTCAACAGTAATGGCTTTTATTTTCCAAACAAAGACTTAACTTCTGTGCCTTTATTATGCTGAAAAATGTCTTTAAGATAATTAATAGCTGTCCTTCATAACAAAAATAAAATTTTCTCATCACTTTGCTAGTTTTTCTCTCCTGTGAACACTAGCCTCCACCTTTTCTTGACTGTTCTAACAGGCCACACAGGGTGTTGGTTAAGCAGCCTTGGTTTATATCCTGTAAAATGGAGATAATAGTAATTTTATCTTCATAGTGTTTCTTAAGGTGATGAAATGACATCAAACCATGTCAAGTTCCTAGAAAAGAGCTTGGCACATTGTAAAGTGTTCAGGAAATGCTAGTAATTGTTACTCGTATTATGTACACTTTTCCCAAGAGGGCAGGGCAGGATTTAAGACCAGGCTGAGGAAGCTGACACTCACTCTGACCAAGTGGTGAGTAATAAGATGCAGTTTTCTGAGCATCACCGAAGTCGTAGATCACAGGGACGGCTGGGCCGTTGTCAGTCCAACACTTCCCTGCACCATACTTCACTGGGTATTTCTGCAGGGACCCAAAAGAGTGGTTGTGTGAGGACAGCAGAGATGCCGTCATATTGAGAGGTAGGGGATTTAATGCCTTCCCGTGTCATTATTCGGAAATCCGTCTCCATCATAGTCACGCCTCTTTCCCCAGAGCTGTGTCTCTCTGACAGCCCCAAGCCCCTTGGCCTTCTCCCGCTCTCCCTCTCCGCTCCTCTCCCACAGGCCTCTCCCCTTGCCTGCCTCAGAGGTCCTGAAAGAGGCAGCACAGCAGTTCACAGTGACCCAGAGTAGGAGAAGCGGCCAAGCACAGGCACCTCACGGTGACGCGTGAGCACAGAGAAGACTTGCCTCTCACCCCAAACACTTGGCTCTCTGTTCACCAGAGGAAGGTCCCCCCAGCCAACAGCCCTGGTTACCTGGTAGAGGCCGAACAGATTATGTCCCAGAGTCTCCAAGAAGCCATTCCTGGTGCGGTACCTCAGCAGGGAGCTGTTCCTCCACTGCTGCAGGGGGGACTTGTTGGGCACATGCCAGGTGCCCAGGTCTGGGCCTGGATGTCATAGTAGCCAGGGTTCTGGAGAGCAACAGACATTGAGCCTGACCAGGCCAGGAGGTCCCACAGGCACCAGACACACACATGCAGCCCTCAGTGGAGCCGAGAGCTCTGGGCTCCAGGAGGGCAGGTGGCCAGCAGCGCTCAGACACCCCTACTTCCAGCAGATGAAGATGCCTCCCACCACCCAGGTCCCTAAAGGCCTGCTGGGAGGAAGCTGTGCTTCAAGACCTGGAAGTAGGTCTTTATTCTCCAGCCCTGTCTCCACATCCCCATCTTCCAACCCGCCCTTCTACACGGTGTGGTCGAGCCACACTCAGCTCCTCACCCTTTCCTAAGAGGGTGGTGAGTGGCACCAAGCTTGTAGTCATCGCTGGTGGCTGCCTCTGGAGACCCAAAGGTGTTGTGATTGGCCCAGTTGCCGTCCCCCTCTGGGTAGTCTGCCCTGCTGCCCTGCTGAGTGGACCAGCGGTTGCTCACCGTGCACTTCCCCAGCATGTTGTTCTCGTGCACGCTGGCCACCAGGGTCCAGCCGCCACCTCCAGAGGTCATGTCACAGAAGGTCTGGTAGATGACACTATTCTCAGTGTGGAGGAGATACACACCATCTGCAGAGGGAACCAGCCCACAGCCCCCTGTCTGGGAGCACATGGTCCTTCTCAGGACCCACAACCAGAAAGATTCGGGGAAATCAGAAGTGTATTCTGAAGGCTCCCACACTTCGTCATTTGTGGAAAGACAATTCTCTCTGGGTCATGTGTGAGCAGAGGGAGGCAGTGAAAGCTATGCCACTGGTATTTCAAATACCAGCAGGGTCACCATGGTGGACAAGTTTCACCAGAGCTTTCAGACTAAGACAAGGTAGGAAGAAGGACCTGGCCACCCACCTCCTGGTGGTGAGAAACCTGTGAATAGCAGAGGAGCATTGGCTGATATAGTGCCAGAAGGTGAGAGCATGGCTCAAAAAGACCAGGCAGGGTTCTGCTCTGCTGTACATAGGGTCACTAGGAGTCACAATCAACTCAGTGGACACTAACACAATGGTACCCTTGGTTAAATGTCATTCTGTATGTTGCTGTGATGATTTTTTAGATGTGATTAGTGTTTAAATCACTAGATTTTGAGTAAAGCAGATTACTTTTCATTACATGGGTGAGCCTCATCCAATCAGTTGAAGGTCTTAAGAGAAAAGACTGAGATCTCCTGAGAAGGAAGGAATTCTGCCTCCAGACTGCTTCGGACTCAAGCCTGCAACATTAACTCTTCCCTGGGTCTCCAGCCTGCCAGCCTGTCCTGCAGACTTCAGACTTCCTGGCTTCCATGATTATATGAGGCAATTCCTTATAATAAATTTCTCTCTTTCCCTTTCTCCCTCTCTCACTCTCTCTGTCTCTCTTTGTCTTTCTCTGTATATATAAGGATCTGTCTATATCTATCTGTCTCTATCTATATCTAGCTATCTGTATATATCCTATTGGTTCTGTTTCTCTGGAGAACCCTGACTAATACATACAATGGACATTCAATAAATATCTGTGAGATGAATAAACAGGAGAGAGAGTGGGAATGTGGCACAGTCCTTTTTGTTCCAAATAAATAAGTTGTCCAGGAGTACTGGGGCAGGATATTCAACATTAAGACATCATTTCATGATATTAACTACCCAAAGAACTTATGGATGTATATATGGTCTTTCATAAATGTTCAAAAACTAATAAGAGGATTAAAAAATATGTAATGGATACATGAGCTCTTTGTTTTGATGACTCAGAAGTGTTAAAGGAGCTGGTTTCTTCTAGGGCAGGAGTGGCTTGGCTCATGGCATGTAAGCCCACTCCAGCTTCAGTGGAGAATTCCTTTCAAACTAGGATACAGCCCTCCAAGCAATTCAAAGAAATGAGCACGTATTGCAAAGAGGTGAGCCACGGCGTTTTCAGATTGTAGTTTAAAAAGTTTAATCCGGGGATTGGCCCAGTCACATAGTAGTTAAAAGTTCATGCACTCCACTTTGGTGGCCCAGGGTTTGTGGGTTTAGACCCCAGGTATGAACCTACACACTGCTTGTCAAGCCATGCTGTGGCAGGGTCCTACCTACAAAATAGAGGAAGATTGGCCTGGATATTAGCTCAGGGACAATCTTCCTCACCAAAAAAAGTTTAATCCAATAAAAGAATGAAGTAAAGATAGAGAAACATTGCATTTAGCTAATTTTAAAAAACATTTCATCCAAGGCATCTTGGTTTAATGAAGTTATTAAAGTTCTCAGGTACGTTGTAAATGCATGCTGCACATAATTTCCTAAAATTTTTCATATGTTCAACCAAAAGTCATCTCTGTATTGCCAAGCACTTTACCCACTGTCTTGTGTTGCTGGGTTAACTCAAATACCATTCTCCGAAAAGAGGGTAAATTAGAAATTAAAGAATTGATTTAGATAGAATGAAAGACTATATTTAACCTTTATTGGTTGTAAAGGAAGAATTTTGATTTGGGAAATTAAGCTTCTGCTTTAAGAAGAGTAGTATAGCTTAAACTGAAATTGAAAAGTGTAGCTTGGTCTACTTTGAGCTCATTTTCCACCTCTTTAACACCCAGGGATTTTCTATACACTTAAGGAAGGCTGACATTTCATTACACTTTATTAATAACGTCACAATCATTGATTTATTTCTATTTGTATCATATATCTTAGTCTATCCTTTATTGTTTAACTTAGGGGTTAATAAGCTTTTTTTGTAAAGCAGCAGAAAAATATTATAGGCTTTGTGGGCCGTACGGTCTCTGTTGCCATCATTCAACAGAAAACAGCCATAGACCATATGTAAACAAAAGGGCGTGACTGTGTTCAATAAAACTTTATTTACAAACACAGGCAGTGAACTAGGCTGGATTTGGCCTACGAGACATAGTTTTCTGTCCTTTGGTCTAACCTTTTGTGTCATTGTTTTATATTCTATAGTTGACTTTGTCTTATTGAACCAATTTGAGAGTTTAACCCATTTACATTTATTTTCAAAAATGGTAAGTTTGGACTTTATTTCCATTTATTGTGTTTTATGGCTTCCATTTTTTAAGATATCTGTATATTTTTCTTAGGTATGTGAACAATACTTTCTTTGCCTCTCTCTTCTCCGGCATTTAGAAAGTTGTATATATCATTTTTTGGTTTTACTGGTTAAAATTTTCAGAAGTATTCTTTAACCGATCCCTGTGTCCTAGTCATTAGGACTGTTCAAAAATGTTTCAGTTCTTGGCCTTCCTGGGAAACCACTTTATCTAATGGTAGTAGGGTTGTACTTCTCTTCTTCTTTGAAGTTAGGTGTGGCCACATGACTTGCTTTGGCTGATAACATGTGAATGGTGGTGACACACATCACCTTCAGGAGTTGATGGAAGAATGAGTGCACAATTTATTATGTTTGCTTGCTCATGTCTCAACAATTTTGGAAACATGAGTAGAGAGGGACAGACCTAGGTCCCTGGTTGACTATGACATGTGGAACCCTCCTGCTGACCTACCACAAGCAGAAATAAACATTTGTGATTCTGAGTCAATGAGGCTGGGGGCTGTTTGAACTACAGCAAAATCTACCCTATTCTGAGTGATAGACAGACTGATGCCTTGAAGTGGGATGTTACCATGCCCAGAATCTAGAAAAGTGTTAAAGATCCAAGTTATGCAGAGCTGAAATTTTTGGTTAAATGGTCACCTGTGATAATTTGGAAGGCAAACGATGAAGTTACTCCTAACTCTAAAGCAGGAGTCAGCAAACTATGGGCATAGGCCAAAGTTTGACCCACTCTGTTTTTATACAGCCTTCAAGATGAGAATGGTTTTTACCTTTTCAAATGATTGAGAAAAAAATCAAAGAATACTATTTCATGATATGTGCAAATTATATGAAATTCAAATTTCAGTGCCCGTAAATAAAGTTTTCCAGGAACACAGCCATGCTCATTCATTAAAACACTGCCTATGGCTGCTTTCATGCTATAATGGCAGCACTACGAGAAAGAAATAAGCATGGAAAAGAACTGGCTAGTTTGTGAACAAGAATAAAATGAATAAAGAGAATCCAAAAAATTGAAGGCTTCCAGGATTTGGAGAAAGCAACTGCTTCTTAACCCAACAAGTAAAATATAAAACTAGGAAGACTTTTGTGTAACAAAAGTTGATTAAAACTCAGTGTTGGGACCAGCATCAAATTAGGAGTACAGCCATACGGGAAGGAGAACTATTCCTCTACCCTCCAGGTCCTTCTGGCTGGTCTAAGAACTAAATTCACATGAGATAAAATAATGGGAGAAAATCAAAGTTTAATAACATACATACATGGGAGAAACCCAGGAAAACTGAGTAACTCACCAAAATGACTGAAGCCACTACCTTAAATACCTTCTTCATTTAAAGACCAAGGAGGAAGTTGGGGGTGGTGGTTTGGGACTTCAAAGGGGAGGAAGGCAATTTACATGGAGATGGAAAAGCAAACGTTCAGTAAACAAATGTTTGCTGGACCATCTATAGACAATGTGACCCGAAGAGAGAGAATTTTGATAAAAATGGGCTTAGCAAGGATCTTCCCAGTCTATCATACCCAGAGTTATCTACGGTGATGGCCTGTCCTAGAACAGGCCTTATATCTTAAATTCTTTTAGACAGGGGAAAGGTCAAAGTTTTCTTTCAGAGTCTTTTGTTCTTAAAAATAATCAAGCGAAAGAGACACATTTTGGGGTGGCAAATTCTGATCCCCCACACAGCCATCCCATCCATTGTTAAAGCCTCTGAGTGGATTATCAAGTCCAGGCAAGGCAGTCGTGCCCAGTAAATCTTTTCAAATGAGCAAAAAAGCTCAGGATGTTGCTCTCCCATTGATATCTGGCAGTCTCAAAAAACATGCAATTCACTCAAGATGGGGAGGAGAAGAAAGAGGAAAGAAACAGAGGAGGTGGGAGTATGTGTGGGTGTGTGTGTTGGAGGGAAGCATGGTTGTGAAAAGGCAAAGAAATACAGCAAATTTAGGAAGGGCATATAGAAAAGGCTGTGACGATGGCCATTGGTCTGACTTGGACCTGGAGCTGACAGATTAGATAAAAAGCTAGTTTTTGAGAGAGTTGCCGAGTCAAAAGAACCATCTGCCTAGACTAAAATAGACTGTAACTGTTTGAGACTAAAAATGACCCTTGGGTTCCCATATATGTACAGATGTAGGCAATACTAGACAGGAAAAGTCGCTTAATCACGCAGGAGGGTGGAGTCCCTAAAGCCCATTCCAGGTGTGGACTGGGAGGATGACTGAACAAGCAGAACTGCCCAGGGGTTGGAGCTGGGGCACAGAGGACACCAAACTTCCAGAAAGTGGGATCAGGGTCAAGTCAGAAACATTCCCTACCCCAAGTGGTATCTCAGAATTACCACAGGGTGGTCACGAGTAAGTGGCATATTGTGAATATCCTTTATTAATTAAGACTGGGAATTATTATTATTATTTTTTTTTGAGAAAGATTAGCCCTGAGCTAACATCTGCTGCTGATCCTCCTCTTTTTGCTGAGGAAAACTGGCCCTGAGCTAACATCCGTGCCCATCTGCCTCTACTTTATACGTGAGCTGCCTGCTTCAGCATGGCTTGCCAAGCGGTGCCACGTCCACACCC